TTTTTAATGGAACCTCAAACATTATCTTTGGGAATTCTGGAGAAAAGTCCATTTTACTTAGACCTTTATGTTTTTGATGGTGCTGTGCAAGAGAGAAGTCAGGATTTTTCAGAAACACTGCTTCTGACTGGAGCCAACAGAAGCGGCCAGGCGCAATGGCTCATGCCTGTAATCCCAACACTTTGGGAAGCCAAAGCAGTAAGATCGCTTGAGCCCAGGAGTTTGAGACAAGCCTGGGCAACATAGGGAGACCCCATTTCTATTTAAAAAAAAAAATATATATATATATATATATGTATATCTCCAGGTGTTTTGGTGCCTGCCTGTGGTCCTGTCTACTCAGGAGGCTGAGGTGGGAAGATCAGTTGAACCTAGGAGGTGGGGACTGCAGTGAGTTGTGATCCTGCCACTGCACTGTAGCCAGGGTGACAGATGAGACCCTGTCTCAAAAAGAAGAAAAGTAAAACAAACTTATTTCAGCTGTAGGTCTATAGACAGTGTTCATTTAGAAGAGAACTATCAATTTATATATGTATTTTTGATCCAAGCATTAATATGGATGAGACTTTCATTATGACTTAATAATACATTCTAAGTGGTTTATCTATAGGATCCTGTACTGGTAGTGGTTAAACTTGTGAACTCTGGAGTCAGATTGCCTGGGTTCAGATTTCAGCGCTTCCTGGCTGGTTCACTAGAAAGTTTTAATAATATATAGCCTAGTGTTGTGGGAATTAAGTGGATAAAGCCCTCTGATGCTGTTTTTTTTTTTTTTTTTTTGAGACAGAGTTTCACTCATGTTACCCAGGCTGGAGTGCAATGGCGCGATCTCGGCTCACCGCAACCTCCACCTCCTGGGTTCAGGCAATTCTCCTGCCTCAGCCTCCTGAGTAGTTGGGATTACAGGCACGCACCACCATTCCCAGCTAATTTTTTGTATTTTTAGTAGAGACGGGGTTTCACCATGTTGACCAGGATGGTCTCGATCTTTTGACCTCGTGATCCACCCGCCTCTGCCTCCCAAAGTGCTGGGATTACAGGCTTGAGCCACCGCGCCCGGCCTCTGATGCTCTTAACATAGCAGCTGCTTCCATCATCATCACCACATTAGGAGTACCACTTTATTCTATTTTATAGTTTATTATATTGAAGAGCTCCCAAAGACAGAGACTAGAGAACTTTTTACACAGTGCTGTAGTGAGTTTTTTTAGTTCAAAGTACTGTGTCAATGACCAGACACATGAGTCCTTTTTTCTCCTTAATTAAGCCACGTGTTTATCTATGTGACATTCATAGCAGGTACATAATCCATAAAAATTAGGATATTGGATGTTCAAGACCAGCCTGGCCAAGATAGTGAAACCTCGTCTCTATTAAAAATACAAAAAAAATTAGCAGGACGTGGTGGCAGGCACCTGTTATTTCAGCTAGTCGGGAGGCTGAGGCAGGAGAATTGCTTCAACCCAGGAAGCAGAGGTTCTAATGAGCTGAGATTGTACCACTGCACTCCAGCATGGGCAACAGCGCGAGACTCTATCTGAAAATAAAATTAGGATATTGGAGAATAAACGCCACTGGGACATGAGGAGGCTAATAGAGACACATATGTGTTCTTGGCACAGAGGTTAACATCCAAAGATGCTGCTTTGGATGTTAACGTCTGTGCCAAGAACACATGACTTGCCTTAGTCTTGAATACAGTGTGAAGATAAGACTGCCTAACATCTTGTACAGGTCTTTGTAGTTTATAGTCTCTCTACATATAATTGGATTCTTACAAGTCACTGCATGTTGGAGAATGTATTCTTCCCATTTTCTATAATATAATGTTATCTTTAATATATTTCTAACTAGAAGACCTGTATTAGTATCTTTCACCTATGATAGACTTGTAGGGCAGGGTTACAAAGGCATCCAGAATAATTACTGTTCAAAGTAACCTAGCTGAATTACTAAATAAGCCTGGATTCCAGTTCTGATTTACTAACACTCTTTTGGAGTATTAACTAGAGGATAATTTGTCTTTTAGCTGTTCATTAATTGCCTCCTTAATCTTGACAATACTTGTTTTGTTTGTTTATATTTTAAGGGATGGTGGGATAATGCAGAAGAGTATAGGGATTTGATTTTGAGCTCATGCATTGGAATATTTTATGTTTTTGGAATGGCAATAACGTAGATTTTTTTTCTTTGAATGAAAATATGCCAGTAACAATGAAAGAAACTGAGGCAATTGCCAGGGAACAATACCCATGTGCACAAAACCAATAGGCCCAAATAGTTTCATGGGTGAGCTATTTTCAACTTTACCAGCCCCGGCAACATAGTAAGACCCTACCTCTACAAAAAACATTTGAAAATTAGTGTGATGTGATGGCGCGTATCTCTGGTCTCAGCTACTTGGAAAGCGGAAGTGGGAGAATTTCAAGCCTAGGAGGTAGAGGTTGCAGTGAACCATGGTTGTGACACTGCACTCTAGTGTGGAGTCTCACTGACAGAGACCTTGTCTTAAAGATTTAATGAACTAATTTAAATAGTTTGAGTTCAGAGAGAGTTTCCCAATCAATTTTTACAAACCTGACATAACACTGATACCAAAACCTGGCAGAATGTGCATACACACATATGAACACTAGGCTAGTCTAAAAATGAATATGTTGTTTAATAATGAATGAACATTTATTGTATCTTACCCTTGCCAGGCCCTGCCCGTGATAAGCATTTTATATTATTATCTATATAAGCCTGTATGGTGTGACAACTTGTTATCCCCATTTTCCAAGTAAGGAAAACACATATAATGAGAAATCAAAGAGGTTGAAGGAATGCATGTTACCCAGAAACACACACTGTAAAGTGACACTTGCTTTGAAATTGACTTTCTGACTTGAGAGAGCCCAAACTCTTAACCGTTATGCTAGGGTATAAGAGAGAAAAAGAACCATAAAGGAAAAAGAGATTACGGAAGACTGTTAAGTAAATTGTATCTTATATTGATTATATCTAGGATTAGTGCAATTTTTTTTTACCTTTTCCCAAATACATTTACGTATTACATTTTTAAGAACTAAATTCATATACTACACCTGTAGTCAGTAAAACTATGATGTTCTTATAATTTATACCAATGTGTTGAGCAGTGGGTACTACAACTACATAGACTTTTCTACCTGGTTGCTAAAACTACTTTTTATTTTATGATAAAGAATAAAAGCCTGGATGTGGTGGCTCACATCTGTAATCCCAGCACTTTGGGAGGCTGAGGCGGGCAGATTGCTTAAGCCCCAGAGTTCGAGACCAGCCTGGACAACATGACAAAATCCCATCTCTACAAAGAACACAAAAATTAGCTGGGTGTGGTGGCACACGCCTGAGGTGGGAGGATTGCTTGAGCCCCAGAGGTCAAGGCTACAGTGAGCTGTGATTGTGCCACTGCACTCCAGCCTGGGCAACAGAGCAAGACCTTGTCTTGAAAGAAAAAGAAGAATAGAAAGTGTTTATAGGGAGCTTGAGTTAATCAACAGAAATATTTGGAACTGTTTTAGTGGCAGATTTTTTAAAGTATGTGGAGAATTTGGCTGTGAAGAATTCTTCACAGAAAACTTTGTACTGGGCCTTGGAGATCTATTGCACAATCCTAGCTTGTTTTGTGTAATACATCAATTCTTGAAATCATTTAAAATACGCTTTGGAAATTAGTAACAGTGGAAACCATTGAGGAGGGGCACTATATGGAAAGGGAGCAGTGTTGTTTTATACTCTTGGAATATGAATATGTTCCATATTATTTATTCCCAAAGATAATTATTAAAAATGTGCTATGGGGATTTTTTGAAAGGATTTCAACTTTTCATTTTGTTTACCAATCACCCTAGTTTTTTGTGTGTTTATCTATGTAGATGCACTGTGTGCAGAGATTTCCTTTAATTCGATCATGGTTTATATGAGATAATGAAGGAATACTATCATAGTATTGTGAAGATGTTTTGAAGTTTCTCACATCAGGTGGACCTCTTCTTTTTAAGCTTCTTATTGAAGTGTAGCATAAATGTAAAAATAGTCATGGGTAATAAGCATATAGTTCATGGATTTTCCCAAAGTGAACACATGTATTTATCAACATTTGCTTTTAGTTGAAGCTAAATGTGGTTGCTAAGTGTAGATGGTTAAGGTTTGTTCACCAATGTTCCAAAAAGACTATTCTCATTAAAAATAAAACAAAATCAAGTCGCAACAGAGCTTAAAGGTCAAAGAAAGCAAAAGAAATAATAAAGCAAAAAAAAAAAAAAATTGGTAAACAAAAAGACCAGGCACAGTGGCTCACACCTATAATCCCAGCACTTTGGGAGGCCAACGTGAGAGAGGATTGCTTGAGTTTAGGAGTTCAAGACCAGCCTGGGCAACATAGAGAGACCTCATCTCTACCAGAATTAAAAAATTAGCCAGACATGGTGCCATGAGCCTATAGTCCCAGCTACTTGGGAGGTTGAGGCAGGAGTATTGCATGAGCCCAGGAGTTCATGGCTGCAGTGAGTTATGATCACACCACTGCACTCTAGCCTAGGCAACAGAGTAAGACCCTGTCTCAAAAAAATAAAAACAAAACCATGCCTGTTCATGTGAGATTGTAGTAAGTCAGTTTTTGAGTGTTTATTTCTGTCCATATCAAATGTTGAAGGGCTTTAATCATCAAAACATTTTATTTGTTGCTTACTATATGCCATGTGTTACAACAAATGATTTATTTACACGTTATTCTTACAACAACTTCAGAAGATATTATTATTTTGGATAGACGTAGTAACTAAAGCTTAGAGAGGCTGGATAACTTGCCTGAGTTCAAATACCGAGGCCATGGTGGAGTCCTACCTTAAATAAGAACCTGAGTTTTTACTGTTAC